CCACTGCGCCCGGCCTGAAGTACGTTTTCATTACATCATAGAAGGGTGCACACTATCCCCACGATATCACTGTTGGTGTTGGCCTTGACCACCTGTCTGAGGCAGTGTTTCTCCAGTCTCTCTACTGTGAGGCTGCTCTTTTCCCCCTCTCCATACTGTACTCCTTGGGAAGAGGTCACTATGCTCTGACCAGACTCAAGGACTGGGGAGTTGTGCATCCCTTCCTTAAGGGTATATTATCCACATAAATTATTTAGAATTGTTCAGAAAGAAGTGTTGTCTCTTTCCTCTAATTTATTTATTCAATTATTTATTTATACCAGGAAAGACTTATGAATATTCATGTATGCCTTGGATTATGATCTAGCACTACCTTATTTCCGTTGTTGCTTAAATTATTCCAGTTTTGGCCACTGGCAGCTTTTTTCCCCTTCCTTTAAAGAGAAATATCAGTAAGGACGGCTCTTAGTTGGCTCCCGAGGCTCCCAAGTTCCTTCGACAGACGCCTCCCTCCCCATGGTTGCATGTGTGTGTGGGTGTTTTTCCTTTTGATACTACAAGATACTTCAGGCTCCTCTTGAGTGGTTCCTGCCCCAGTGTTAGAATTGGCGGGTTGTCCAAGGAGCCCAGGACCCTTTTATTAGCGAATGCTGTTAGAAAGCAGGACCCGGGCTCTAGGCGTCCTCCTCATTACTAGGTGTTCCTGCCTCTAGGCCCTCTGCGCTGACCGGCAAGGCAGTACGTGTGCACTAACCAGTGTATATACATATATCCACAAGTGTTTCTATGTGTAACAATGTGTACCTGTATTAAACTACACATGAATTTATATTGGGGTTTCTAGTTCGAATCCATTATCACATGGATCATTCTAGCTTCTTCCCTTGTTTATCTGTAAGCTTCACCCCCAAAGTGCTGGGATTACAGGCAGGAGCCATGTGCCGGGCCATTTTGTCTATTTTTAGACTGAGTTGTTTGCTTTCGGAATTTTAGGAGTTCTTTTTGTATTTTGGATTCAAGTTCTTTATCTGCTATACTTTTTGCAAACATTTTCTCCCAGTGTGTGGCTTACCTTTTCCTTCTCTTAGCAGTATCTCCCATACAGTAAATGTTTTAAATTTTAATCAAGTCCAACCGATCGATTTTTTTTGTCACGAAGTGTACTTTGGTGATGTGTCTAAAAACTCATTACTAAATCTAAAAACCCATTGCCAAGTCCAAAGTCCTAGATCATCTGTGTTTTCTCCTAGATTTTCTTCTAGAAGTTATAGTTTTACATTTCTAGGCCTAGGATTCATTTTAAGTTAGTATTCATGAAAGGTATACTGTCTGGGTCTATGTTTTTTTTCCTTTTGCCTTTTTGTCCAATTTCCTCAGCATCATATTTGGCAAAGACTACCCTTCCTCTAATAACTCATCTTTGTTTCATTGTGATGCTATTGGCAAGCATTTTGTAATCAAGACACGATGACAATTTGTTAAACTTTTAAACTAGTGTTTCACTTGCATACGCTTCCCTCTTCCGTGAACACGTGCATACCACGTCCTCTCTTCGGAAATTCACAGTACTTAGAGTGCACATGTCTGAAAATACCTGATCTTGAGAACAATCCTAGGGGAATAGAAAGCCTTAAAGGAACAAAGTGCTTTGGGAATAAGTAACAGAGTAATCAATTCCAAGTAGGCAAGCTGTAGGAAATGGGTGGGAATATAAGAATTGATATTTATGTGATGTATATATAGGATTTATACATCTATGGATAGTATATATTCTAAGGATATATCAGCCTCAGAGCAATGGGATATCTTGCTGGAAAAAACCATTGAGAAGACCAGTGTAGCTGGATAATAAAGTAAGAGTGAAACTTACAAAAGTTCCAAATGACAACCGTTTTGAAAACCAGTTGGGTTGTCTGGATTTGGCACTGCACAGCATAGGGAGCACCTATGAGCTTAGGCAGGACACTGACAGGATCGGATCAGCACCTTTTAGGTGGGTATTGAACACTGAGAACACATAGGGAGAGGAGCATCACACACTGGGGACAGTTGGTGGGGGTAGGGGAGAGACAGCTGGTGGGGGTGGGAAGGGAGGGGAGGCTGAGGAGGGATAACATGGGGAGAAATGCCAGATATAGTATGCACCTAAAGTAAAATAAATAAATAAAAGAATGTGATTTGGCAGAAATACCAGGGGCTACTGGAAAAGGGTCGAGACTGGGGAGCTTCATTAAGAAGTCGCTACAGGCCGGGCACAATGGCTCACGCCTGTAATCCCAGCACTTTGGGAGGCCTAGGCGGGTGGATCACGAGGTCAAGAGATCGAGACCATCCTGGTCAACAAGGTGAAACCCTATCTCTACTAAAAATACAAAACTTAGCTGGGCATGGTGGTGCGCACCTGTAATCCCAGCTACTCCAGAGGCTGAGGCAGAAGAATTGCTTGAACCCAGAAGGCGGAGGTTGCGGTGAGCCGAGATTGTGCCATTGCACTCCAGCCTGGGTAACAAGAGCGAAACTGTCTCAAAAAAAAAAAAAAAAAAAAAGTCGCTACAATTGTCCAGGCAACATTCACCTAGGGCAGTGGCAGACACAGCTGAGAGGAAAAGTGTTAGAAAATGTGTTGCAGGAATGGAACATACAATCAGCTATTTTTAGCAATTTCCTGTTTTTCTGCTATAATAATCCGTCTAGACATTGAATCGCCACTGCCACCTATTGGTGAAAAAACTTCCCAATCTAATGTTGCCCTGCACAGGAAGAGAAACATATCACAGCATGTTGGCAAGAATGATGTTAATTTCTCCCACTCTCTCAAATCAGCTTGTCCCCAGAATATTTACTAAGCTCTGTTCAAATTATTGAGGGACAATTAAAACGTATGCCCCTCTTCAGGCTGGAAACGTTCAAGATACAGCCTGGGAGATAACATACTAAAGCAATTACCTGCTAATGTGTTGAAAGGCAACGTGAGGTCCCTGAAGGAGGAATTTGATGGGACTGCTTTTACTTGCCGCTGGCTGAAGGAGTGGTGAGGTGTGGACCAGCCATAAACAACACCCACAGGAGGCGAGCTTCAGATGTGGTCTAAAGGGACATATCTAAGAGAGCTTGCGACTTCAGACTTGGTGGTGTTTCTAACAGACTGGTCTGGGAGTTTGTCATCCCGAGCTTAAAGCTAGCTGTATTGTCTGAGATGCATGTGATGCTATGAAGGGGACAGAAACATCTCCCCTCTTGAAAGTAAGTACTTGTTTGCAGGCGAAGGTCCTTCTGTGGTCTGATGACCACAGGAAGATCCGGATGTCTCCAAAGAAATAAAAATGGCATCCACATCACTAGCAGAGAACTGAAAATTGTGAGCAGTTATCCGAGTGGGCTCCAACGGAGGACAGAAACAACTGTCAGCTGGTCTCTGGGCGTCCTGACATTTCTGCGGTGGTGTTGATTTAAAGGAACCTAAAAATAAGTCTAATCTATACATGGCAGTCACCAAAAGTGGTAGATTATTATTCTTGTCTTACGGTGAGCAAACAGAGTCGTGAAGAGAGTCCAGTACTCCCATATGACCACAAAGCTATTAAGTGATGGAGCTGGAATTTGAATCCTTTGCAGACTCAGGGCTCATCTTCCAACTTCTGCATTCGACTCCTTCCTCCACTCCACCCTCACTCCACAGCAGCCGAACAACGAAGCATTCATCAATTGCTGCTGCCACGTACCAGGGCTGATTTTTACTATTGTAAACACGGCCCGACAGTTACTAAAGCATTTACGAGCACTGTCAATCGTTCATTTTAAGATGATTGTACGTGTTAAAAACACAACTATTAGTTCATGTATCTTAATGTCATACTTATCCAGTCCCTCTTTCCCCTCGGTACATAAATTACTGGAATTGTGTACCTTGGCTCTCTGGCTGTCCTTATTTGGTGTGTCTTAAGATTTTGTTGTCTCACATTTTGGAATTTCATTTTTTAAAATAAATTAAAAATAAGAAGGGAAGGCGATGAGGTCACCAGCCCCGTGACATCATCGCAGGATCATGGAAGGGAAGTAAAGGGCCCTGTGACGTCATTGCAGGATCATGGATGGGAAGTAAAGGGCCCTGTGACTTCATTGCAGGATCATGGATGGGAAGTAAAGGGCCCTGTGACGTCATTGCAGGATCATGGAAGGGAAGTAAAGGGCCCTGTGACGTCATTGCAGGATCATGGATGGGAAGTAAAGGGCCCTGTGACGTCATTGCAGGATCATGGATGGGAAGTAAAGGGCCCTGTGACGTCATTGCAGGATCATGGATGGGAAGTAAAGGGCCCTGTGACGTCATTGCAGGATCATGGAAGGGAAGTAAAGGGCCCTGTGACGTCATTGCAGGATCATGGATGGGAAGTAAAGGGCCCTGTGACGTCATTGCAGGATCATGGATGGGAAGTAAAGGGCCCTGTGACTTCATTGCAGGATCATGGATGGGAAGTAAAGGGCCCTGTGACGTCATTGCAGGATCATGGAAGGGAAGTAAAGGGCCCTGTGACGTCATTGCAGGATCATGGATGGGAAGTAAAGGGCCCTGTGACGTCATTGCAGGATCATGGATGGGAAGTAAAGGGCCCTGTGACGTCATTGCAGGATCATGGATGGGAAGTAAAGGGCCCTGTGACGTCATTGCAGGATCATGGATGGGAAGTAAAGGGCCCTGTGACGTCATTGCAGGATCATGGAAGGGAAGTAAAGGGCCCTGTGACGTCATTGCAGGATCATGGATGGGAAGTAAAGGGCCCTGTGACGTCATTGCAGGATCATGGATGGGAAGTAAAGGGCCCTGTGACGTCATTGCAGGATCATGGATGGGAAGTAAAGGGTCCTGTGACATCACTGCAGGATCATGGAAGGGAAGAGCCCTGTGACGTCATTGCAAGATGGTGGAAGGGAAGTAAAGGGACCTGTGACGTCACTGCGGGAAGCAAAGCAAAGTGAGGTGACAGGCGGCGGACTGCAGCAAAAATATGGCATGCTTCACGAATTTGGGTGTCATCCTTGCAGGGGCCATGCTAATGTTCTCTGTATCCTTCCGATTTCAGTATACGCGCTGCCGAAGCGAGCACACATTTTGGCATTTCAACCTGTTATTTTGTTTCCCCTTCAATATCAGGGTGACTTATAACTCAGTTTTACTCTGCGTAGCATTTTACGTGTAAAAGTTTATGAAATACTTTTAAATTAAGTTCCAATCCTTTACTTAAAAAAAATTATTCCCAGCCACATGGTTTATTTGCACTCAGCATAGGAAAAAGTTTTTGAAAGTTTGTAATGATTCAGTTACCTAAGAATATGACTATTTTTTAATCTTTCTGAGTGTCTCAGCTTAAAACTATGAATGGAATACACTATGACGTATTTGCTGTAGAATTATAAATATTATCTTTTTCCTCCCACTCTAAGTATGCCACTTAGCCGATTCTGCATCGCAAAAGTGATGTAGAATAGCTGAGACTAACCATGGAAGAGAGGGAAGGCACAGACATGTATAAATCAAGCTTTTATCATTCTGGTATAATTTTGGAACATCGTTAAAATTCCCCTGTGCATTTAGAGCGGCCACTCTTCACATCATCTGTGCTTGTGCAGCCGAGGCAGCTCTTCCATGAAGTCCAGGCCGAAGCCTCGTGAGGCAGAGACTGTCAGTGTGGAATCAACAAGCATCTCCCCTAAGGACAACCAGGCAGCATAAATATACCGCCTAATTCTCTTCTCGCCTGGCCTTGATTAAGGGAAATACGGACAAGGAATCTTGAACAAAGAGAAAGCAATTTCCTAATTTCCTTTAACCCAAACAAATTTTCTCTATTTAGATGCTGCATTATAAAATACTTTTCCTAAGGCAATAAGAAATACAGAATCACGGCCAGGCGCGGTGGCTCACGCCTATAATCCCAGCACTTTGGGAGGCCGAGGTGGGTGGGTCACGAGGTCAAGAGATTGAGACCATCCTGGTCAACATGGTGAAACCCCGTCTCTACTAAAAATACAAAAAATTAGCTGGGCTGGTGGTGCATGCCTGTAATCCCAGCTACTTGGGAGGCTGAGGCAGGAGAATTGCCTGAACCCAGGAGGTGGAGGTTGCAGTGAGCCGAGATTGCGCCATTGCACTCCAGCCTGGGTAACAAGAGGGAAACTCTGTCTACCAAAAAAAAAAAAAAAAAAGAAAATACAGAATCATTACTATTCAGCATTTTGAACAAAAAGTTTTATGTTTTTTAGAAATTGCAGATTGTCATAAGGCCAGGTTTTTATAGAAAATGTTAGTTTATAAATATGCCTATTATATGTTCATCTAAATCACAAATGACGGTATTCATTGTTGCCTTTTGTTTTCTTCTTGGTTTTACCGTGTCATTTTATAAGTCACACATGTGTACACACACAATGGAAACTCTGGAGAATGAGTAGTAGCTCTAAAAGGGAAAATTAAAAACATATTTGAAGAAATGATTTTGGGAAAGCGCTTGGTAAAGTCGGAGCTAACTTGGGAAGAACTGTGTGAATTCAGGACCCGCAACAGGTAGGTCTTTGATGCTCTGTTATACGCTCTCATGTGGAACAAACTCAGCCCCATCGCCAGTCAAGTCTCCTCTAGAGTGGCCAGGTCAATGTCTCTCCCTGATGGAAAGTCAGGGAAATCAAGGCAGGCCTAGACACCTTTGCTGCTCTCACAGCTGCTGTGGAGTGCAGAAGAGAAAGGAGACAGGCCACAGCACCCCGCTGACCAGATTGTGTTGTTGAGCATCAAAAGAGGACAAACGATATTGCGATTATTACTACAGATTCTTAATTTTACTCAAAAGGGAAAAATATGCGGCACAATAGACGCGGAGCTTATGTGACTTAAAAATCATATTTAGAGTCATATATTGTTTCATTCACACTATGCATGTATTGGATGAAGTTTAGGTCAAATCAGATAGCAAAATATTGAGTAACAATCTTGCAAATGGGGCATGTTTGTGTGTGTGTGTGTGTGTGTGAGCGTGTGCGTGTGCACGTGTGTGAGCATGCAATTCCATGAATATTGGTAGAAAAAAACTGTAAGAAATTTTTGTAAAAGTTGTGCCAGAGGTTGTGGTAAAAAGGAAAAATGGTCAGAGTAAAATGTAACACACCAAGTCCTAGAGAGACATGATGTGAAATGTTTCATTTCTGTAAAAAGGGGCCATCAACTCTACAATATGGCTTAGCTGTCTTGGAAGTTCCATGCTTTCATGTTACTGTCCTGACATGTTCCTCAAGTTCATAACGGAATCAAGCTCCTATCAGATAACCTCGAATCAATACCCTAACTTGATCTAAAACAGGACTTCTAACCTGAAACAGAATTTGTGTTTATTTTGGTCAGAAAAATAGCCTTGTATCTAAGAAGGCACAATGTATACCGATAGAGATGATGATTTTTAAAAATTAGGTTTTGTGATGCTTAATACTGAGTGTCAACTTGATTGCATTGAAGGATACAAAGTATTGACCCTGGGTGTGTCTGTGAAGGTGTTACCAAAAGACATTAACATTTGAGTCAGTGGCTGGGGAAGGCAGGCCCACCCTCAATCTGGTGGGCACCTTCTAGTTAGTTGCCAGTGAACATAAAGCAGGCAGAAAAATGTGAAAAGGCGAGACTGGCCTAGCCTCCCAGCCTACATCTTTCTCCTGTGCTGGATGCTTCCTGCCCCTGAACATTGGACTCCAAAGATTGATACTCAGTTTTGAACTAGCTCTTCTTGCTCCTCAAGCTTGCAGACAGCCGGTTATAGGGCCTTGCAATTTAGTAAGTTCACACACACACACACCCACACACACACACACACACACACACACACTATTAGTTCTGTCCCTCTAGGGAACCCTGACTAACAGATTTTGGTAACTGGAGTGGTTCTAGAGGAACAGAATATTAAGGATGTAGTTCTCTCATTGGTTTTGGGTTTTTGGAAGTTGGCGGCTTCATATTATGAGACCTGAAAATGCTAAGGACTCTACTTTTTTTTTTTTTTTTTTTTGAGACAGAGTTTCGCTCTTCTTACCCAGGCTGGAGTGCAATGGCGTGATCTCGGCTCACCGCAACCTCCGCCTCCTGGGTTCAGGCAATTCTCCTGCCTCAGCCTCCTGAGTAGCTGGGATTACAGGCACGCGCCACCATGCCCAGCTAATTTTTTGTATTTTTAGTAGAGACGGGGTTTCACCATGTTGACCAGGATGGTCTCAATCTCTTGACCTTGTGATCCACATGCCTCGGCCTCCCAAAGTGCTGGGATTACAGGCGTGAGCCACCGCGCCTGGCCCAGGACTCTCCTTTTAATGGTATGGAGAACACTGATAGTCCTTGGCTTGAACTGTTTAGAGAATTATGCAAAATAAATGCATGTGACACTCCCGATTCACCACTTGTGAGAGGCAAGGAGTTTGGTGGCTCTGTACATAATGCCTTTGACCGTATGTGGAGACCCAAAGAACATAATGAAGCTGGTTGCTTGCTCCTAAGTTTGGTGGACAAGGTGCTGGAAGAAAATGAGGAACTCAGGGATTCTGTCTCCTGGCTTCAGAAGCAGATACAGAGCCTGAAACCTGCTAAGGTTTCCCTGAGTCAAGTCTTATCTTCTGTAGAGAAAGAGCTGAATTTGTGGAAAGACAGACACACCTGCTCGTGCCATGCGAGTGGCTGACCTGCAAGGAAAGATGTCTACTGTTAAAGTGAGGATATTGATTGGACAAGAATCGGACCCTGCAACTTGGAATGGGGACGTGTGGAAGGACCCTGACCCAGAGATTGTAAAGTCTGATGAACCTTTTTTGCCAGAAGGAATGGCTTCTCCATACCCAGTGGTGGCCTCGTCCCCTCCCCAACCCACGCTGCTATCTGCCTTTCCACCTGTGTGTGAGCAGATAAACCCTGTGCTCCCAGACAGAGTGATGGCCTCCCCTGAGACAGGTGACAGGCAAAATACGGTTGATTTTCCTCAGGAGCCCCCTCCAACATCCTTATTTGCTTTTACACCTGTAATTAGACTAAAGTCCTGGCGGGCTCCTAGAAGTGAGGTTGAGAGTATGACCCATGCGGAGATGTGCCAGATTCGAAAAGAACTGTTTGAGTTCTGTAATCGGCAGAAACAGAAATCTGGAGAACAGCCATGGAGACGGACATGAAGGGTATGAGATAATGGTGGAACAAACACAGTTGGATCGGGCTGAATTTATTGATTTGGGTCCACTAAGTAGGGACTCTGCTTGGGGAGTTAGAAAAGGTTCTAACAGTTTATTTGTTTGGTTAGCTGAAATATGGATTAAAAGATGGCTCACTGTGAGCAAGCTGGAAGTGTCTGATCTCCCTTGCTTTAATGTAGAGGAAGCGATCTAAAGGCTTACGGAGATTGGGGTGGTGGAGTGGATGAGTCACTTTAGACCTCCTCTCATCCCAGCTGGGCGGGTCCAGAAGATACACCCTTGAACAATACCTTGCAGAACACATTTGTGAGGGCAACACCTGCTTCTTTGAAGAGCCCTGTCATTGCTCTTTTCTACATGTCAGATCTAATGGTGGGAACCACAGTCACTCAACTACAAAATTTAAATGCAATGGGGATAATTGGATCTCAAGGAGGCAGGGGCCAACTAGGGGCACTCAACCATCAAAGGCAAGGTGGGATAGCTGCCGTAATGGACAGCAGAAGCTAATTAATCAGTGCTCCTAGAAGCAAAATTGATAGGAAGCCTGCTGCATTCCTACTTAATTTATATAAGGAGAAAAATTCTAGGTTGAATGGACAAAAGACTAATTTGAATTAGTAAAATACAATCATGGCCCATCAATTAATTTCCAGACTTGAGACCGTTTATAAACCCAGAATCCCTTGAAGGAAGGGGAGATGAGTCCCCTTGAGGAAGGACCCCACTACATCATCAACAATTTATGCAGTGAATCTTCCCCAATCCTTCCCCAAGGAGACCTCCAGGCTTTTACCAGGGTAACTGTGCACTGGGGAAAGGGAAATAGACAGTGCAGGGACTACTGAACACTGGCTCTGAGCTACCACTGATTCAAGGGGACCCAAAATGTCAC